AGTGCAGTGGTGCCATCTTGGTTCACTGCAGCCTCCGCCTCCTGGGTTCAAGAGATTCTCCTGCCTCAGCCTCCTGAGTAGCTGGGATTACAGGCGCGCACCACTACACCCGGCTAATTTTTGTATTTTTAGTAGAGATGGGGTTTCACCATGTTGGCCAGGCTGTTCTCTAATTTCTGATCTCGTGATCTGTTCACCTCAGCCTCCCAAAGAACTGGGATTACAGACGTGAGCCACCGTGCCTAACCAATACTTTTTAAAAATTGTATTCAGGCTTCATCTTTTGTTCTCAAACTTGACCCTTTGCTAATGGTGAACTGAATACTTGTGATTTGCTCTAAACACCACCATGTCTCTATACATACTTTTCCCCTAGCCTATACTACATACTTCCATCTCTCATATTTTCCTATCTAGGCACATTTGTTTTTCCTTCAGAACTTGACTCGAGTGTTCACTTTCTCTGTGAAGCCACCTTTGTTTCTGCTCTATTCGTACGTGATTACTTATGCATTATTATATCACAGTGGGTTATGGTTTGTTTATATTTCTGTTACATCCTAGCCTGTATTCTGTCTTCAAGGCAAAGGTGTGTATTGTATTCCAAATACTTAGAAGAGTTCCTGATACAAAGTAGGTTCTCAGATGTTTAGTTGAAAGTACATTTTTTCTTCAAGGAGTAATTAGTAATTTGGAAGTTAGCTTATAGATGAAATATTGTTATAATTTATGTTCTATGCAATGAAACCTTTCTATATAGTCTTTTACCTCACCATAATGTTTTACATTGCTGCCATCTCTTTTCAGATGTTATTTTGTATTCTGTTGCTTATAATGGTACATTAAATAGTATTGATACCTTAGGGCAAGGGTGTCCAATTTTTTAGCTTCCTTGGGCCACATTGGAAGAATTGTCTTGAGTCACACATAAAATACACTGACACTAATGATAGCTGATGAGCTTTTAAAAAAATGGCAAAATAATCTCATAATGTTTCAAGAAAGTTTACAAATTCTTGTTGGGCCGCATTCAGAGTCATCCTGGGCCTCTGGTTGGACAAGCTTGCCTTAGTATCTTTTCATTTAGTTACACAGAGAAGATTTTACTTTTGGATTAGAGTTTAATCTCTGGCTATTTATTCAAAAAATTTAGGGTTTCTAATGGCACATGTTTAGAGATCTCTTCTACCTAAGAGGAGAGGCTTTAGGCTAGTTAAGGGTTTTGGGGCATGGAGTGGAAGGAGAGGAGTGATGAATTCCCTTTTTGAAATGAAGAAACGTTAATTATTTAATGAGTGCAGTTAAGGAGGGAGGATGATAAGTCAGATGTTTTTAAAACCATTTTTGGGAATGGGCACATGGTTCACACCTGTAATCCCAGCACTTTGGGAGGCCAAGGCAGGTGGATCATTGGAGCCCAGGAGTTTGAGACCAGCTTGGGCAACATACAGAGACCCCCATCTCTACAAAAAATACAAAAATTAGCTGGGCGTAGTGGTACATGCCTGTAGTCCCAGGTTCTCCGGAGACTGAGGTGGGAGGATCCCTTGAGCCTGGGAGGTAGAGGTTGCAGTGACCTGAGATTGCACCACTGCACTTCAGCCTGGGAGTCAGACCCTGACTAAAAAAAACAAAACCCAAGAAACAAAAACCAAAGAACAACAACCTTTTTTTTTTTTTTTTCAATGTTGTTTACTGGGCTACTGAATAGAAAGTGAATTGTATTGACTGTAATAACTGTGTCAAAAGTACATCTGAGGCCCAGTGCGGTGGCTCATGCCTGTAATCCCAGCACTTTGGGAGGCCGAAGCAGGTGGATCACCTGAGGTTAGGAGTTCGAGACCAGCCTGGCCAACATGGTGAAACCCCGTCTCTAATAAAAATAGAAAAATTAGCCAGGCATGGTGGCAGGTGCTGTAATCCCAACTACTTGGGAGGCTGAGGCAGGAGAATCACCTGAACTAGGAAGGCAGAGGTTGCAGTGAGCTGAGATTACACCACTGCACTCTAGCCTGGGCGATGGAGTCTAAAAAAAAAAAGAGATACTCTGTCTAAAAAAAAAAAAAAAAAGTACATCTGATTTCGTGAAGGATCTGAATTGCAGAAGACCTTTTAAAATAATTTTCATGCATTCAGATACATGATCTGGAATTTAGGTGTCCATGTATAAATCATTTGACAACCTGAAATTTTGATGAAGTAAACATTTGATATGTTGAACTTTCCTGAGAGAACAAGGTTAATCTTTAGCTCAGAAATTTTCATATATATGTGTGTGTGTATATATATATATATATATATTTTTTTAGTGGTAGAGATGGAGTCTCGCTCTGTTGCCCAGGCTGGAGTGCAGTGGCGTGATCTTGGCTCACTGCAACCTCTGCTTTCCGGGTTCAAGCAGTTCTCCTGCCTCAGCCTCCCAAGTAGTTGGGACTGTAGGTGCACACCGCTACGCACGGCTAATTTCTTTTGTATTTTAGTGCAGACGGTGTTTCACTGTGTTGCCCAGGCTGGTCTTGAACTCCTGAGCTCAGGCAATCTGCCCATCTCCGCCTCCCAATGTGCTAGGATTCCAGGCGTGAGCCACTGTTCCTGGCCAAATATAAATTTTAAAGTAGTGAATGTCTAATTAGGGTTATGTTATTCTTACTGTATGTCAAAGCCTTGTAGTTTTCTATTTGAACACAAAAATGTACAATTTAATTCTTATACTCTTTCCAAGGAATTAAGTTACTAGAAATAACTTGCTTTAAAATTCTTCCGCTTACAATGTGGTTCCGTGGCATGAATCACTAGGGTACATACTTATTCTCATTCACAGAAGTTCCCTCTGTGGCTTTTGTAAAGTATGATAGCAAATAAAAAGAAAAAATGTTCCCTATGCTATAGACATAGAGAATAACTAGATTGGTTCAAGATTGCATAAAGGTGGAAGTATGTTAGTCTCATAAAACTGTGTCCACTGGGCTGACGTGGTGGCTCATGCCTGTAACCTCAGCACTTTGGGAGGTGGTGGATGGCTTGAGTCCAGGAGTTCGAGACCAGCCTAGGCAACACGGTGAAACCCCATCTCTACTAAAAATACAAAAATTAGCCTGGCATGGTGGCGCATGCCTGTAGTCCTGGCTACTTGGGAGGTTGAGGTGGGAGGGTCGCTTGAGGCCCCGAAGCAGAGGTTGCCACTGAGCTGTGATTGCACCACTGCATTCCATCCTGGGTGACAGAATGAGACACTGTCTCAGAAAGCGAAAAGAAGACTCTGTCCACTGCCTTATTTATTCAGTAGGTAGGCAATCCAGTTACTTTTTTCAGTGCAAGTGTAGTTATTTTTGTCCTTGTTTTTTTTTGTTTTTTTTTTTTAATTTGAGACGGAGTCTCACTCTGTGGCCCAGGCTGGAGTGCAGTGGCATGATCTCGGCTTATTGCAACCTTTGCCTCCCAGGTTCGAGTGATTTTTCTGCCTCAGTCTCCCGAGTAGCTGGGATTACAGACATATGCCACCAAGCTTGGCTAATTTTTGTACTTTTAGTAAAGATGAGGTTTCACCATGTTGGCTAGGCTGGTCTTGAACTCCTGACCTCAAGTAATCCACCACCTCGGCCTCCCAAAGTGCTGGGATTACAGGCATGAGCCGCTGCGCCCGGCCTTGTCCTCTTTAAATCAAAGACAATATAGCAGGTGCATACTTGTGGAATGGATAATCTAATTTGCATGGAATAATTCACATAGGCATTATTTGCAAGACTTTTGAAATTTGGAAATTATGTCTTCTTCAAATTGGTTCTCTTTATACTAGAAAACATAATTAATATATTTGACTGGCTATGTTTTTTTTTTTTTTTTTTTTTTTAAATAGAGACAGGGTCTTGCAATGCTGCCTGGGCTGTTGTGGAGCTCCTGGGCTCAAGTGATCCTCGTGCCTCAGCCTTTGAAGTGCCAGGATTACGGGCATGAGCCACCATGCCTGACCAGCATCTTTTTTTGAAGAAACTTAATTTTAACTCTTTGTTTCAGCAGTCTTATACCTATGACAGGGCAATGAGTAAACACATATTTTCTTATTTCAGAGTTTAAATTAGTTACCTTCTCAAGCATGAGTTAGTATTTTCTGAAGGGAAAAAAATATATATAAATTTTCCTTAAGATGCAGTGTAGTGCATATTTGCTGTAATTAAGAGAAGTAAAGTGGTGGAAACAATCACTAATTTTCATGAACGAAAGTCCTGCTAACCACTATTAAGATGGTTTATTAATTTTCTGACAATGTTAGGCAAATAATTTATGATTTTATTGAATAATTTATTCATTATCAGTCTGTTCATATTATTGAGATTTAAAAGACCAGTTAAATTTGTGTTATTGTTTTGTTGTTGTTGTTTTTTAGTCTGAGTGTTTTTTTTTTCATTGAATACTTTAGGTTGAATGCCTATTTAAGATAGAGTGACTTATATTCAAGTCTAATGTGCATAGAATTAAAATTTAAAAAAAATCAATTTATTAGGAATCAACTGCTTTTTAAAAAGTGGATTAGTTCTCAGTAGGAAATAAAGTAACAAGATGGGGAGCTGAAAAAGTTGTAGTTTGGTGAACTTAAAAAAAAAATCTGTATTCTGTACCCTTGAAACCATTTCTTTGTATTGCAGTGAGAATAGGTAAGTGACAGTAGAAAAAATTTTGCAAAGCATTTTTCTTGGCTGATAAGTTGAATTTCTGTTCATTAAGTAAAGTTGTATACAATCAGATTAAAATGTATTTTTCTAAAAACATTTGTTGCTTTATATAATATTCTTTAGCCCATTAGGACTGTGGGTTATTTTGGAGATGTGGGTTTGATACTGGGGTGGGAGATGGTGGGTGGTGGTAAGGATATTAGAAGGAGTGTTTTAGAAACTTGTTTCCTATCCCACCGTTCCCAGTATCCTCTATATGTTAGTTATGTTAGCTTAGATTAGTGTGGGGGATGTTAGGAGTGGCCTGGTTTCTTTCCTTCTTTTTCCTAGCCAAGGAAGTATCGCCTGGGGATGCTGGAGGAGAGGCTAGTTCCGATGGGATCAAAGGCACGAAAAGCAAAGAACCCTATTGGCTGCCTTGCTGACAGGTGTAAATCAGGAGTACCCATCAATATGGTTTGGTGGAACAGAATCACAGAAAACAATTTACAGGTAAAAATAATTTTTATTAGACATTTCTTGAAAGTGAATATCTTGGCTGCTTTCTGTGTCTGTTTGGGGTGGTGGGTGTGAAAGGATTGGATGACTTAGCTGATATACTTAGGTAATTTAAAAAATTTCTCATCAGAGTATAAGGTTAGTGACCCCTTAACCAACTAAATGATTTTTTCTTGGTGGCTTTTTGAGCTTTTCCTCTTTGTAGAATATTTTACTTTTTTGTTTGTTTGTTTTTTGTTTTTTTGAGACAGAGTCTCGCTCTGTGCCCGAGGCTGGAGGGCAGTGACGCCATCTCAGTTCCCTGCAACCTCCGCCTCCGAGGTTCAAGATATCGTGCCTCAGCCTCTCAAGTAGCTGGTACTGCAGGTACACACCACCACGCCTGGCTAATTTTTTGTAATTTTAGTAGAGATGGGGTCTCGCCATGTTGGCCAGGCTGTTCTCGAACTCCTGACCTCAGGTGATCTGCCTGCCGTGGCCTCCGAAAATACTGGGATTACAGGCATGAGCCACCACTCCCGGCCGATTATTTTGCTATTTTTAATTAAATTTAGTTTTCCCTTTTTCAATTTTATTAATACTTGAGTTCAATTATTTTTGATACCAAGAATTATTCAGGATAGGACTACATTCAAGAGTCATATAAGGCCGGGCATGATGGTGCACGCCTGTAATCCCAGCATTTTGGGAGGCCGGGGGAGGTGTATCACCTGAGGTCAGGAGTTCAAGACCAGCCTGGCCAACATGGTGAAACCCCGTCTCCACAAATATACAAAAGAAAAAAAAATTTTTTTAGCCAGGCGTGGTGACGAGTGCCTGTAATCCCAGCTACTTGGGAGGCCGAGGCAGGAGAATAGCTTGAACCCAGGAGGCAGAGGTTGCAGCAAGCCGAGACTGCACCATTGCACCCACTGCAGCCTGGGCAACAGAGTGAGACTCTGTCTCAAAAAAAAAAAAAAAAGAGAGTCATATAAAATTTATTACAGAGTCACATTTATTTGGAATCTGAAGAACAAGATGCTTCATATGTTGTCTTTTTAACATTTTTACTGGGAAACAAAAATTATATGTAAACAAACTTGTTAAGAGTTGCTCTAAAACTAACTTCAGTAGTATGTTGTCATAGAGTCATTACAAATACATTCCATCTTTGACTCTACCTTTATTGTCAGTATTGAATAATGCAAATGAAAATTTATAACTCAGGTAGCTTCTATATAAGATTTTGAAGTACCAACAAAAAATTTATATGCCATTTTAATATGGATTATAATTGTATTCCCATTTTTGAAAAATTCATAATCATTCTGTAATATAGTTTTATTAACCAAATTTCAATTTAGCCTAAGGTAGAATGTCTTTCCTCTCAAACTTGCATTTAAAATATATCCCCAGGCAAAGCTTATAATCCCACATGTACATACTATACACAGAAAAGATGTAACAAAGGTAACAACTTGCTTTTGTTTCTGTTTCCAACCTTATATTATAAATAGGTTCCACAGTATTTTGTTCTGTTTAACATTGATACATTAGTAGTATCTGTATTGCCTTGGGCATAGGAATAAATAACTTATTCCAAAAGTAAATATTGTAAAATGTGGTATTTGCTCCAACTGATATTTTGGTAATATTTTCTAAAGATAAGAAAAGGTGGGAGTTTCATGCAACCATATGCTTCAGATTTCATTGGAAAGTTTTGACTGTGTCAATTATGAATAACAATATAGTTTTTTTAAACTGAATTTGCTTGTCTTTGATATCAGTAGTGGAGAGATTTTTGATATGGGTTGTTACAATTATTTTTTAGTTTAAAAAAGAAGGTCTGAAAAAAAAATTGGACTCCAACTATTTAAGAGCAGATACAAGTGAAACTGGAATTACTTGTCGGTTGTGGGGGTGAAATACTTACCAATGCAGAGGTGTAGCTACTCGACCTCTCCACAACTGCCCCCATTATCCTGGTGGCAGTTCGGAGGTACTTTGTTTTTTAGAATAGCTTGAAAAATCTTTAGGTTGGTTATAGTTATTTTTTATTTATAATTAAAATGGTAATAGATTTGCATTAATGTGTGAAATATTGAATTGGTGTTATCCGAATCTTTCAAATACTGTTATTTTATACTTCAGGTAGTTCTTTTCCTTTAAGGACATAAGGAATGCTGTACCCCAAATTTAGAACTTTACAGTCTCTAAAATGCTTCACTTTACCAGGCACATGTTGAAGTACTGAAAAATACCCATCTCGTCTCCATTACTGTCTGTATGGATTCCTAAACTGTGGAGTCTGGAATAGTTTATACAAAGCTAAGAGTATGTTGATCCATATATTTGTATTGGAGTTTTTATCTTTTTCTTGTAAGAGAAAAATAACATAAGTCAATTCCATATCATTTTTTTCCTTTTGTGTGATTAGAAATTATTTTTAATATCGTTTTGTGTTTTCAACATATATTAGTTTAAAGAATTTTGTCAGGAGCATATTCATCTTTCCCATTCCATTTGTTTCCTTAAATCTTAGGTCCTCTCAATCCTAGGGTCAGAAAAATGTTTTAACATCTTTTATGATAACAATTATGGCTGTGTTTCTTAAATGGTTGTCTTGTGCCAGGCACTGTGCTAAGCTCTTTACATGTATTGTCTTTTGGTATTGTTAATAGCTTATGGGGTAGATGTTACTGCTAGATGAAGAAACATCTTCAGAGAAGCTAAGTAGCTTTAAGGTTAAACAGTTAGTAGAGGAACAGAAATTTGAGTCCCATGTTTGTCAGACTCAGAATCTCTTTACTTCTATGTGCTGTAGCTCTAGTAGCTACAGTTGGTTTAATTATCTAACTGGTTAACTGAATTTCTGCAGGACAGCTTTTTTTGAGGATGAGAATGCATCCATATTTGTCTAGACACAGGCTGTAACTTACGCATGACGCTGCAGCATTTGTAAGCTCTGTCAGTTTTCCTCGTGCTTCATCTTTCTCCTCGGTGCCATTTAGCTACTTTTCTTTCTGGAACTTTAAACATTTCTTTATGTTCATTTCTTAATCTTGACCTAACGTCTTAGTCTTTTTTCTGCTTCTGAAAACAAAGGAAAAGCAGCAAACCAACTAACAAGAAACTTAACAAAACCTTTGTCTGAGTTTCTGAGCTCTGTTGGAATGCAGTCATTCATATTGCATTTATTCTCTTCAGTGCTGGATTTCTTTCAAGAGGCCCATGAGTCCCTACCCTTTATTACTTAGTAATCTTTTAGTTCATTTTTTACCAAAGATTTTATGATACGAAGGAGCCTGTCTGCCAAACATGGCATTTATTAAATGGTGATACATTTGAAAAATACATGTATGGAGCTGCTAATTAGAGAAACAGAGAAGCTTAAAATTTTTCTTAATCTTTTGTAGGTTTGTAGAGGGTACATTTATTCTTCATATGGCTGTTTGAAATATTGATAAGACCCATCTGATCTCCGTTAATATGTTTGTAAAGTCCCCAGTTGGGAACCTTTGGAATAGTTTCTACTCTTTTCTCTAAATTTCCTTACCACCCATTTACTCCTTAAATGTCTGCAAACTGGTGTTACCAAAATTTTATTGAAACTGTTCTCAGAGTTTTCCAGGGATCTCCATAATTGCCAAATCCAGCAGTTTTATTGAGCACTTAATATTGCTGGCTACTTTTTTTTTTTTTTAAATCATGAAACTCTTTCTCTCTCTCTGTTTTTTTTTTTTCTTTTTGAGACAGGATCTCTCTCTGTCACCCAGGCTGGAGTGCAGTGATGCGATCATGGCTTACCTCATAGTCTTGACCTTCTGTGCTCGAGCGATCCTCCTGTCTCAGTCTCCCGAGTAGCTGGGACTACAGGCACATATCACCACACCCAGCTAATTTTTTTTTTTTTTTTTTTACTTTTTGTAAAGACGGGGTCTTGCCATGTTGCTCAGGCTGGTCTCGAACTCCTGGGCTCAAGCTATCCTCCTGCCTTGGCCCCCCAAAGTGTTGGGATTACAGGTGTGAACCACTGTACTGGCCATGACATTTCTTTCTCTTTGCACTTTTTAATAAAAAAAATTTTTTTTTTAATACAAAAAAATTAGCTGGGCGTGGTGGAGTGTCCCAGCTGCTCGGGAGGCTGAGGCAGGAGAATGGCGTGAACCTGGGAGGCGGAGCTTGCAGTGAGCCGAGATTGTGCCACTGCACTCCAGCCTGGGCAACACAGCGAGACTCCATCTCAAAATAATAATAATAATAATATATATATATATATATTGTTTTAAGAGATGGGGGGTCTCACTATGTTGCTTCGGTTGATTTCAAACTTCTGGCCTCAAGTGATCCTTCCACCTCAGCCTCCCAAAGTACTGGGATTATAGGCATAAAGAGCCACAACTGCCTCTCTTTGGACTTTTCACTCTTTGTTTCATCCCTGGCTCCTTGTGAGCTCCTGTTCTTGGTTCACTTGTTCTTTGCTTTTTCTTGTATGCCATTGATTCTGAAATGTTACTTTTAGAATTGTCTTATGAGTTCAAGGCCCAGATTTTTTGTGCCTCTGATATCTTTGCATATGGGTAAATATGCCACTCTCCCTACATCTCTGGAAAGTCTAGAAACATGGTTTAATTTTTGGTTTTCCAGATTTACTGCTTCTCATATATTTCTCTTATACTCCTTCTTCAGTTTATGGTATTATCTTCCTGGTCTCTGAGACTAAATATTCCTTCCCTGTCATCTCTTTGATTCTACTACTTACTTTTTTTTCCTCCCCTGGATTACTTTTTTAATCTAACACATATTGTAAGAAGGAAACTACTGTGCTTTGACAAATCATTAATTAAAATAGAATATATTGAACCGTGTACATTTGTTATAGTAAGTCTTTATAACAGTAATCACATATTATCCCCATTTGACAACAGAATTGGGCCTTAGGAAAGCTTAATGCTAGTTAATGGTAGAGCTGCGATTCTAGCCAAGATCTGTACTAAATTTTGAGATTTTTCTGC